GGTTATTTTGTTACTATATAATGATAAAAGTACCATAAATGTTTAAAAAAAAAAGTTTCCCTACGTTAGGTCATAAAACATTTATTCTTACCCATGTTTTTAGTAAAACATAAAATTCGGTGTCACGTCGGGTGAATAGACACCAAACATGTCAAGCCTTAAAATTGCGTGTGCCCGCAAAAAAACGCCCATAGGCAACGATTACAACGCTTTTACTGCTCATCAGTTTAGTGTCATCAGTGATTAATGGCTCTGAAATTATTGCTCTCACTCAGACGTTTGCGGCGATATTTAACATGTGTGGCACAATAGGCGCAATCGTTGTTTTCGCACATAGGCGCACCAGACTCATATCTGCGTGTGTATGTGGGGGGCGGGGACTTTAAAAAAATGTTTTTTTTTAATTTTTTTATGCTTTTTTTTATGATTCTTTAATTTTAGTATTACTTTTTTTTTTTTTTTTACACACAGCTTTATTGCTATTACATGGGGGGATAAGAAGCCCCCTATGTAATAGCCAATTTACATGACAGGTCCTCTTTATGGAGACATCAGGGGTCTCCAAGATCCCTAATGTCACTTGCATTCAGGGACTGAGAGGAGATCAAAAGGGAGTTCGTGTACTGAACTCCCTTTGATCTCCTGTCACAGAGCCGTGCCGGTCCCAGCCGCATCGGGCACAGCGGATCTCTGGACCGGCAACGGCAGTGCAGGCTGCTAATACAAGCGATCGAGCGTCTCTAGAGACACCTGATCACTTGAATGTAAAGCTCCCGGCCAGCCGTGTAAATACAACAGCCGGCCGGGAAGCTGCTTGTTCCCTGCCCCCACAATGTAAAATAATACAAGGAAGCCCCCTCACCCGTTTGTCTTTCTGCAGGCTGGAGGCGAGCAGGCAGATCCTTGGTGATCTAGTGTGATTGGTAAGGTCTGCAGACCTTTAGTACTAATCACTTCGTTTTTTGACCCGGAGCTCAGTGAAGAGCTCCGGCCGAAAGGAAGGGAGACAGACCAGCAGAAGCAGCTGCTCCCACGAGTCAGGTACGCGGTCTGAGACCGCAAGCCTGACAGGAATTTCCATTCGCCTGCACTGCATTTCCACTTGTCAAATGCGAGCAGGCGAGTGGAAATTTTTAGCCCTTGGTTAGACAGTTATATTGTAAAAAGGATCATCATGCAATATCTTGAAAAACAGAGAAAAATCGCCTTATGATTGGTTTTTACCTAAAGCACCCTTTTCCCCTTCCCTCTATGCTGATCTTCCCCATCCTCACCCTCCTCTGTGGCATACTAGCACAGTGCTGGAACCAAGTCCACAGGGGTTCTGCCGCAATGTTTACCTGTGGTCTGTGTGTCTTCTATATCCCACTGCCTATTTGTGTGCAGCAGAACCCCATAGACTTGGATGAGGCCAAGTGACTGATCGGTCTCCCAACCCTATAGAAGTCTGTGAGGTTCTACTGCTCATGTGTAGTAAGCAGGACACAGAACCAGCATTTAGTGACAGTGCTGCTGATGTTCCCTAACCTCCAGCGATCCCCATACATACCACCAGCAATTAGCTTACAGAGCAGGAAGTCTCCCATAACTAATAACTTATTTGCGGTTCTCTTCATTAGATCATGTGACATCACGTGGGAGCCATACATACGTTTTTAGTGACAGGAGACGTCCTGTGGTGGGACACGGTATCTGCAAAGATCACTGCAGACTATGTTATGTTATCCGAGATGAGCTCAAAAGGAAATTTTGCAGGTTGAAAGTTAGGAGCTGACTGATTTCAAATGGCACAACACAGGTACTTTGTACCTTTCAATGTACTAAACTATCGTATACCTTCTACAGGTCAGACCTTTGCAGACTTGTGTCTGCAACAACTAATCAATTATAATCGATAATGAGAATTGTTGGCAACGATTCTCATAATCGATTGATTTCAATTAGTTGCAGCCGCTGCTTCTCCGCTCTCCTCCCTGCTGGTGCTGGCTGCAGCGGTCTGGTCCCCTTTCAATCTCAGCTTGCTTCGGCAGAAGCAGCGGGGACACAGACCGCTGCAGCAGACACCAGTGGGGAGGAGAGACTGCTGTGACTGAATGACCCTGCTGTTCCTCTGCTGCTCCCCCCATGCCCACTCTTCTGCTGGTGGTAGAAAGCTGGCGTCAGGGCTGCCTTCAGAAGCGGAGAACAATATCCAGCCTACTATTGGTTATTTTAAGTTGCAATAGCCAATAGCAGACTGGCTATTGTACCTGCCCGCTGCCAATCAGCAGAGGAGGACCTGAAGGGGAACTTTCTCCTTCAGTTCCCTTCTCTGCTGATTGACAGCAGGCAGTGGACGGGTGCAATAACCAGCCTGCTATTGCAATTTAAAATAACCAACAGGCTGGCTATTGCTCCAAGCCACTTCCTGCTGTGTTGATATTCAGCTGCTCTAAAAGACCCCTAATGTCAACTTAAAGAGAACCTGTCACCTCAAATGTGCCATCACATAGGGGGCTCATGAGAACACCCCCCCATGTGATAGCAATGAGGTAAAAAAAAAAATCTAGTGTCTAGTGCACCTACATAGAATAACGACGATTGCGCTACACGTCAGGTATCATTGCATGCGCTGCAGTGAGAGCAATCATTATCAGGCCAATACTCATAGCTAACTCCAAACTGATGACTGGACGTATGCGTAATATATATATATATATTTTTTTATCCAATTGATCGAAAAACATAATTGGCCAACTAATCGATAACGAAAATAATTGTTAGTTGCAGCCCTAACGAAGTGCCAAAAACTAGCCATACACTGGTGGAACTTTGAACAAAAATCTCATCAGAACATTCCATAATGCCTTTAGATACTTGAAGTTCTCCATAGAAATTATACTGGTGTATGGCCAGCTTTACCCAGTTCTCTGAAACTAGGATATAAACGGATAAATATAGTACTCTAATGAAACCAAAATTCTGTGGCAGCAGGCTGACTGCCATCAAGCCTCAGTCTAGAGATCAAAGTGAAACCTTGTTATCTGTTAACTACATTAGAACAGACA